TCATTTGAGGCCAGGAGTTCAAGACCAGCCTGGGCAGTATAGCAAGATCCCATTTCTACAAAAGAATGTTTAAATTAGCCAGGTGTGGTGGCACGCGCCTGTAGTCCCAGGTGCTTACTTAGGAGGCTGAGGTGGGAAGATCTCTTGAGGCCAGGAGTTCAAGGCTGCAATGAGCTATGATTGCACCACGTCACTCCAGCCTGGGCAAGAGAGTGAGACCCTGTCTCAAAAAAATAAATAAGGGAAAAAAGCCCACTTACATAAATAATCATATATGGGGGAATAAAATGCCCAAGGTTACCAGCTCCCACACTCTGAACCCCAGAGAAACCGGGGTGTCAGGAACCTACGCCCGGCTCCCTCCCCTCTGCAGGGAAGCTGGAGGCTGCACTGGGGACGGCAGCAAGGGTGGGTGGGCCTGAGCACAGGAGGAAAGGGGGCTGACGGCCCCAAGTCTTATTCATTCTCAGCAGTGCCTTTAGGTCCAGGCATTGAGGGACCCTCCACCTCCAGGCTAGAAGCTGCTGGTCTCTAAGACAGGCCAGCTCAGGTGGGAAGAAAGGGGTGGTGGCCCGGGAGGTCAGAGTGGAGGCAGCATCCCAGAAGCCAGTTCCCAGAATGCAGGCCACTCTCCCGGCCATGAGCAAAACAGGCCTGCAGAAGGCTCGCCGAGGAGCCAAGTGATTTGGAAGCGAGGACGGCAGCCAGGAGCTGACACTTCACATATGAACCAGAACAGGCTTTCCAGAAAGTGGGGGATTCGAATCCACACATGTCTGGCTGGAGAGGACCACGGGTCGAGCTGCCGCAGAGGCAGGTGCCTAAATAGCCCAGGAGGGCTGCTCCCAGCCTTTGGTTTTAGAGCTGGGCTCGACTTCTCTGATTCAGCCTTCAAGCATATACTCAGGGAATCTTCTCTGGGTGAGACACCCTCTTATAAGCTCCTTAATCCTCATCATGGTAGCGAGTCCTGATCAGTGTCTGCCCCCCCCAGCTAGAACAGAGCCCGGGCGGGCCGGTGCTGCAGTCCCGTCCCTCGGCACACACTGCCTGGGACGGCTTCTGCACACGGTGGGTGCTCTGTACCTGGTACCAAGCAAATGAACCCACGTGATAAAAAGCTCGGGCTGTCACATGCAAGGACTGAGTCTGGAAGGAGTGGGAGAAAAGGCAGCCACGGGAACGAGGATGGAATCCCAGGCTCCCTGGGGCACTGTGTTCATTCCATCGCTTCCATAAATACGCTCTGATCACCACGATGTGCTGGGATCGTGGCAGTAAAACAAAAAGGCAAGTTGCCACCCTCACAGAGCTTACACTCTAGTAGAGCAAAGTAATAAACACGGGGGTAAGTATGTGATATGTCGGGGGTAGTGAGCGCTGCTGAGAGAAACAACTCCGGAGCTGAGGGCTGGGCAGGACCTGGGGAGGGCGGCAGGTGCCTCTGTGGATGGAGGGATGGGGAACCGACTGAATAGAGACCGGAAGGAAGTGGTGGAAGTCCGGGGGAGAACCACGCGGGGAAGCGAGGAAAGGGCACCCCAGGCAGAGGGAGCAGCGAGTGCAAAGATCCTGAGGCAGGAATGTGCTTGGTGTGTTCGAGGAACGGCAAGGAGGCCATGTGGCTGAAACAGAAAGAGCAGGGGGGCGGTGGGAGGAGAAGAGGCCCCATAAGGAGCGGAGGGCCAGGTGGGCCAGGTGACAGGAGGCCGGGGGAGGGGAATGACAGGGCAGGACTTGCACTTCAAAGGGATCACGCTAGCTGTTGTAGGAGGTTGAAAGGGAGCAAGGATGACATGAGGAAGTCAGCCGGGAGAGTCTTTCGGTAACTCAGGCAGCAGCTGGAGGGCCTCGGCCCTGGGGACAGCAGTGGAGAGGTGAGAAGTGTCCCAACCTGGACGTGTTTTCGAGGTATCCGTAAGAGGACTGGATGCGGAGTGCAAGACAAAGACAGGTGTCCAGACTGCCTCCCCGTCCCCGGCCTGAGCAACTGCACAGCTAGCTCTGGGAAGCGAGTGACTTGATATAAGGGAGATGATGGGGGGACTAGGTCTGGGGCCCAGAAATGCGCAGCCCGGTTGCAAGCATGTGAGCGGCCCAGGCAGGAAGTCATCAGCATGCAGGTGGCATTTGCAGCCATGACACAAGATGAGATCACTAAGGGAGTGAATGCGGGGGAAAAGGGCGAAGAGGCCGGGGAATGAGGCCCAGAAATGCCACGGCTGGGGCGGATCAGGAGGACCTGACAGAGGAGACTGAGACGGCACAGAGAAGTAAAGGGGTACAGCTTGGTGCCCCCAAGCGCAGCGTTTCAAGAGCGTCCCTGCCCACAGGCGGTGCACCGGCTCAGATGGAGGCTGTGGCACCAGCCAGATCAGACTTTGAACCTCACCCACCAGCTGTGTAACCTTGGCCATGCCACCTCCCCTCTCTCTGAACCTCAGTTTCCCCACCTGTCAAACAGAAATGACAGTAGTACTGGCCTCATTGGACAATTGGGAGATTAACAAGCTTAGCTCGGTGGCGCCTGGCACACAGTGAGCACGCAAAGACTGCAGGGCTACGCCCGATGGCCCCTGGGACACTCCTGCCCGGGGTACTGAGGCCACAGACTCAAGCTCAATCCTGGCACCAGCTGACTAGCTTAATGGAAAGAAAACCTGTGTCAACAGAGCCATTGGAACCTGGAATCCCGAATGTCTCCTGCCCGGACCTCACCCAAACCAGCCACGTCTCACAGCCCCAGCTACGAGAGCCGAGCTTCCCAACGTGCGGGCATGGCGGTGACCTCAGATGGTGAGTGGACACCCCATAAAATGAGTGAATCAGAGAACATTAGCCCTTGCCACTTCTCTTCCAGCTCTTCCAGGTACATCAAGAGAAAGCGCCACGTTGGTGCTGCCATGTCTTTAACACCCTCTGACACTCAGCAAAGAGGAAGCGGGCCTCGGGCTCAGCCACTTCCAGGGCACCAAGCTGCACTTCAGAGCTGATACTGGGTGTCTTCGATGTCACTGAAGTTGTGTTTGTGTCACCTTCTATCTATGGCAAGGGATACCGGGTTTCCATTTCTGGAAGAGACACAAAGTTTTCTTTCTAAACAAATTCATGGAAGTAAAAAGATAAGAGAGATGATTTAAAGAAAATGCTAAGTACACATGAATTAAGTGGCTTGAGATGGGGTTGGGGAGAGGTAGCAAGGCAGATGTCCCAGACGCCTGAAGTTTGGGAAACAAGAACCCAGGAGAGGCCGGGCTTGGTGGCTCACGCCTGTAATCCTAGCACTCTGGGAGGCCAAGGCGGGCAGATTGCTTGAGGTCGGGAGTTCGAAACCAGCCTGAGCGAGACCCCGTCTCCATTAAAAATAGAAAGAAATTGATTGACCAACTAAAAATATATACAAAAAATTAGCCGGGCATGGTGGCGCATGCCTGTAGTCCCAGCTACTCGGGAGGCTGAGGCAATAGGATTGCTTAAGCCCAGGAGTTTGAGGTTGCTGTGAGCGAGGTTGACGCCATGGCACTCACTCTAGCCTGGGCAACAAAGTGAGACTCTGTCTCAAAAAAAAAAAGAACCAGGAGAGAATGTGGACAGCCCAGGGCAGCCACCCCACGCCTGAAGAAGCAAGTTAGGGTCACAGCCACCTGCCGAGACTCAAGAATGTACTCCAGGAAGCGCAGATAGGGAGAAGGAGCAAGGCTGCCCCCAAGACCCGCTGCCCCCTTAGCTGATGGGCCAGGGCAGCTCTGGGCCTCACTGATGGGTGAAAGAATGTTACCCTTTCACCCCTCAGCCAAGTCCCCATCCACTCAATGCACCCCCATCCTCCTAGAGCTTCTTCTACCAAGACAGCCCCGTTGGGACTTTCTGCAGGGCTTGTGACCTAAGTCCCTGGGACTCAGGCCTGGCCAGTCGACACTCCCGCCCCATAGGGTGGACCGCAGGACTCAGGCACAGTGCAGTGTGGGTGGCAAGACCAGCCACTCCACTTACAGACACTGCGAGGCCTTGAACTAAGAGCACCTACCCCATTCACAAGCACCTAAATAGGTGCACCCACTATGTGCAGTGGGCAGCAAAACCGATCCAAATATCTGCAGCCCTCACAAAGCTTATGTCCAAGTCAGGGAGGCAGGATGAGCAAGTCGGCGAACGAACCAGGAGCCCTGCTCGGGAACAGCGCGGGGGAGGGCGGCTGGGCCTGCAGACAGGCTGGCCGGGGGTGGCCCCTGGGAAGAGGTGAGCTAACAGTCAGGCAAAGCAGCTGCAGGAGGAGCATTCCAGGCAGAGGGCACAGCAAGTACAGCCCCTGGAACAGAAGGAACCTCACTGCATCCTAGAAACTGTCAGAAGGGCCACCAGGCTGGTGTAGAGTAAGAGAGGGCGGGGAGATGACACTGGAGCAGTTGGCAGGGACAGATCCTGAGGCCAGAGCCTGAGATGGGTTTGCTCTTTACCCTGAGTGCAATGAGGAGCCACTGAAGGGTTTGAAGCAGGATTTTTGGCTCCAGTGCAGAAAATGCACAGCAGTGGCTGGGGTGGAAGCAGGGGCCAGTAGAAGTCTGTCAAAGGCTCCCAGGCAAGAAGTGGCGGTGGCTGGTATTGGGGAGGTGGCCGTGGAGATGGCACCAGGCCATCAGGCCTCGTAATGAATGGGATGAGCAAGAGGGCAAGAACTATTCCCAAGTTTCTGTGGTGGGATGCCATGATGGTGCCATTGCCATGATGGGGAAGACCAGGGGAGGAGCAGAAGGAAAGGGATGGCCCACCCTAAATACGCGTCGCACATGTGACCTGGGAGCAGCCTGCCCCACAGCCTGATGGAGCGGTCCTGTGGACAGTCAGGCATTGAGTGGAGCTCAGCAGAAAGGAGGGAGCTAGGAAAGGCCGAGAAGAGGTCACCAGCAAGTGCGTGCTGAGTGGCGATGCCCCAGGGCGCCCAGTGGCTGCTCATTCCTCTGCATCCCACAAGCCCGGGTCTCCCTGCGCACCCCGGGTACCTGCAGCGTCTCCAAGGCCTGGCTGGCCATGCCGGTGGTGATGGAGGCCACCTGCACGGCCTGCTTGCGGGCGGCCAGCAGGATCCTGCAGTAGGTGAAGCAGATGGCACCCGAGGGCAGGAAGAAGGTGAGCCCTGACGCCACGAGGACGAAGGGCAGGCTGGCCAGCAGGCGGCACTGGCCCGGGTCGGGCGGCCGTGCGCGGCCCAGCTCGTGCCAGCCCAGCAGCAGGGGCAGGAAGGAGGCGAGCGCAGCCAGGCTCCAGGCGCCCAGAACCAGCGCCAGGGCGCGCGGCGGCGTCATGCGCAGCTTGTAGCGCAGCGGCGACAGGATGAGCAGGTAGCGGTCCAGGCTGATGAGGCAGAGGTTGAGGATGGAGGCGCTGCAGCACATCACGTCGAAGGCGGTCCAGAGCAGGCAGAGGCCGCGCGCCAGCACCCAGCGCCCGTACAGCACGTTCAGCATGGCGGGCGGCATCACCACCAGCCCCACCATCAGGTCCGACGTGAAGAGCGACACCAGGAAGAAGTTGGACGTGTTGCGCAGCGCCGGCTGCGTGCAGATGAGTGCGATGAGCAGCGAGTTGGCCGCCGCCGTCAGCGCGATGACCGCGCACAGCCCGGCCGCCACCCAGCCGCTGCCCCCCGGCGCCGACGGCAGCCCCGGCCCCCAGGCCAGGGTGCTGTTGTTGGAGGGCCCCGGCTCGGGGACCATGGGGCCGGGGAGGGGGGGTGAGCGTGTGACGGAGTGGCCTGAAGCAGCGGGGCTGGGTGGGCACCGTCGGCGACAACAGAGCGCGTCCCCTCCCCTCCCCCGCGGGGGCAGGTGGGAAGATGGAGGCGGGGGCGCTGGTCCAGGGGCAGGACCGGAGCAGGACGGGGAGGAACTCTACGGGCGCCCTCGGGGGTGGGACAGGGACACCTGGAGCAAACGGGTGGGAAGTTTAGGGAGGGAGGCGGCTAATGCGCCGAGTCCCCTAAAGACAGCGGAAGAAAGTTGGGAGGAGGTCGTGGGGGCGCCCTCGGGTGGAAACGGAGCCCCCGGAGGGGTGGGCGGTAAGATGGGGGCGAGGACGGTGGCAGCGGGCAGGCGGGAGCAGGGGCCCAGTGGGCGCTCTCCCGCCGGGCAGGCTCCCCGAGGCGGCGGGGGCGCGGGGGCGCTAGGTCGGGGCCGCAGCGCCGGGGTCGCAGGGTGGGGGCCTAGGGGCCGGGCGGAGCCCGGGCGGGGAAGGCAGGTCGCAGCCGGCGGAGGCTCCCCGCGATCGGGCGCACCCGGCCCCTGCGGCGCGCGGGCGGACGCGGCCGGCCAGGCCCCGTCCGGAGAGAGGAGCGCAGCGGCCGCGCCCCCTCCCACCCGCCGCCGGTGGCTGGCCCGCCTCCGCCCGCGCTCCGTACCTGGGCGCTGCGCCGGCTCCGCTGCTCGCGACTGCGGCGGCGAGCGCCCGCGGGGCTGGGCGGGGAGAGCGGGCCGCGAGCCGGTGGGGGCGCGGCCGGCTCACGATCGGGAGGCCGCGAGGGCCGCGCTGGAGGACGGGATGGGGCCAGAGCCGCGTGCCGCGCGCGAGCTGGCCCCGCCCGTGGTGGCGGGAGAGCCGGCCCGGTGCCCCGCAGGCGGAGCGGGGCGCCGGTACCCGGCCGGGCGCAGCCTGTCGAGCGCCGGGCTGCGTCGGGCGAGCCTCCCGGGCCTATGGCCAGCCGCGCCACCCCCGGCATACTCTCCGCCAACCCACGCGCGGCCGCGGCGGCGGCGCAGGCAGAATTTAGAGAGGCTGGCTGTGACCTCCTTTTGTCCGGGGACGGCTCCCTAATGGGGTCTGCCCACTCGCAGCGAGGTCACCGCACTTCTGGGGAAACCCAGGAGTTGGGAAACAGGCAAGTCACTTGACACCCCTCTGGCCTCAGTTGCTGTGTCTATAAAATGGGTTAATAGTCATTCTGGACACTCTTGACTGTTAGTTTGAGCAGCGGGCTGCCCTTCCAGGGTCTTACCAGGAGAAACCATCCCATTCCCCAAAGGGGCTGGGCGCTAAGGATGAAGCCCCTGACCTCTGGGCACTACCTGCCTAACAGCGCAAATGGACTGGGGAATGCCCAGGCAGGTGCGGTGGCATCACTGCAGGCAGAGGGGTGTGGTGTGGCATCCCCTGAGTGTGACCCCCATGTGTGCACCTCTTCTCTCTGGCTGAAGAGCCCCTACCGAACACTGCTGTGCAGATTCTTACTGTGGAGTCCATCCATTCATTCCATAAACATTTATTGAGCACCCACTAGGTGTCAGGCACTGTTCTGGCCAATGAAGACACTACAGTGACCACAACAAAGATCCCCACCTCCATGGCGCTTGCCCTCTAGTGGGAGGAGACAGACAATAAACAATAAGCATAATAAACATGTAAAGTAAGGCCAGGAGGATGATGCCTGTAAGCCTAGCACTCTGGGAGGCCCAGGTGGGAGGATTGCTTGAGCTCAGGAGTTCAAGACCAGCATGAAGGAGAGCCAGACCCTGTCTCTACTAAAAATAGAAAGAAATTAGCTGGAAAACTGAAAAAATATATATGTATAAAAAAATTAGGCCAGGCGCAGTGGCTCACACCTGTAATCCTAGCATTCTGGGAGGCCGAGGCGGGAGGATCACTCATGGTCTGGAGTTGGAAACCAGCCTGAGCAAGAGCAAGACCCCGTCTCTACTAAAAATAGAAAGAAATTAATTGGCCAACTAAAAATATATATAGAAAAAATTAGCCGGGCATGGTGGCGCATGCCTGTAGTCCCAGCTACTCAGGAGGCTGAGGCAGCAGGATTGCCTGAGCCCAGGAGTTTGAGGTTGCTGTGAGCTAGGCTGATGCCACAGTACTCTAGCCAGGTTGACAAATAGAACTCCATCTCAAAAAAAAAAAAAAAAATGCCGGGCTTGGTGGCTCACGCCTGTAATCCTAGCTCTCTGGGAGGCCGAGGCGGGCAGATTGCTCGAGGTCAGGAGTTTGAAACCAGCCTGAGCAAGAGCGAGACCCCATCTCTACTATAAATAGAAAGAAACTAATTTGTCAACTAATATATATAGAAAAAATTAGCCGGGCATGGTGGCACATGCCTGTAGTCCCAGCTACTCGGGAGGCTGAGGCAGGAGGATCGCTTGGACCCAGGAGTTTAAGGTTGCTGTGAGCTAGGCTGACGCCACGGCACTCACTCTAGCCTGGGCAACAAAGCGAGACTCTGTCTCAATAAATAAATAAATAAAGTAATCATAAAGTGATAACTACTATAGAAAAAAATGTAGTATAAAGAAGATGAGGAGAGGTCTTTTTCCCTCCACAGAAACAGAAAACTATTGTAACACCTTGCACAGTTAAGGCGCTTGCTCTGTACCCAGGGGCTTGGTTATGCTGTTCTGACTCCTACAATATTCCTACTCCTCCAAGTATTTATTCCTACGCCGACAATAACGCGGAGTAGATGTTAAACTGGGGTTCGGATAGGCCAAGGGCCTGGCCCAGGGTCACCGGCAGCAAGTGGCCCAGCGGGAGCTGAAACTCAGTCTGCCCGGTGCCTGTGGCAGAGGGAGCCCACCACAGACAGTGGAAACCTCCCGACAGGAAGCTCAGCCCCCGCGGGACCCACCCACCCCTAAGCCGCTGTCGGGTGCTTGGAGCCCCAGTCTTGCCCGCAGTTGATCTGCTCAGCAGGGAGAGCCCCCCCCACCCCACGCCACACTGCAGCTCTGTGACCATGTCTGCCACGCCCCAGGGAACGGGATGTGTACGCCAAGCCGGAACCGAGAGTCACAAAGACCCGGCTTGGGATCCAGCTCACCGCTTACCAGCTCTGTGGACCTGGGGCCAGCCGCTCTATCTCTTGGGGTCACCTTTGTCCTCTGCAATAGTTAGTAGAATACAGCACCCGCGTGACAGGGTCGTTGAGGGGATGAAAGTGACACAGTGTAATCTATAGCCTTTACCGTACTACGTCAGTGTGGCTGTTGGCCTCAGTGTTCCCATCTGGTGCAATGGTGGCACTTTCAGCCCTGTGGTAACTCCTTCAGCCCAGGGATTGCGATGTGAGCAGACAGCGACCAATAGACGGTGCTGGTGTGCAGACGATTGTGGAGCCCAGTGACCTGAGTTCCTCATCCCAGTTCTGCTACGTTGCGTCTGGACGTGGCAAAGCGCCGTCTATTCTGCTGCTGCTACGAATCTGGGGCCGTGGGGCTGTGATCGGGATGAGTAGCTGATAGACCATTTGCCTCATACATTTTAGCTCTGTAACACTTAGTATGTACCGTGTTTCCTCGAAACATAAAGACAGTTTAGTATTTATTTTTCCTCAGAGAGACACCCTAGGGTTATGTCACGGGGACGTGTATTTTCCCTCAGCTCAGCTTGCGCAGCGCACGAAGCGGTATGGCCGGGACGGGGCAGCCACCTTGCTAGGTAGCCTCTGGATAACTACGCTGTCTCCGATGATGGGGGCCAGATGAGAACTCTGTCTCGTTTACTGCTCTAGACGAAAGTGCCGGGTTCGGGCAGATGCGCTGCGTGCCACACGCCTCACTAGGACTGTATTTTCGGGGGTGGCGGCCTATTTGCGCCAATGCTGGAGAATCCTGCTAGCGGCTCTGTTTATGGGTGAGGGTTTATTTTCGGAGAACACGGTAGTGGGATGGAATATTAGTCTCCCTGCCTTTTTGCTGTCTTGATAGCTGCTTTTTTTCTTTGGTCTTTTTCTTTTTTTTTTGAGACAGAGTCTCATTGTTGCCCAGGGTAGAGGCAGTGCGTGGGTCGCCAGCTCACAGCACCTCACAACTCCTGCGCAGCAGTCCTCCGGTGCCTCAGCCTCCCAGTAGCTGGACTACAGGCATGACACCACAATGCCGGCTAATTTTGCGGGGTATATGATATAGTTGGTGACTTATTTCTTGTCGTATTTATTAGTAGAACGGGTCTCGCTCCTTGCGGCTGGTTCGAACTGCCTGACGTCAAGCCGAATCCGCCTGCTCGGCTCCCGATGCTTGATAGCTTAGTGTAAAAAAAAAAACAAAGACCTAAAGAAGATTAAGTCAAGGTACTAACATTTGTTTATTCTACGGTATAGATTCACACATGTTGTTGTATTGGCTGAATCTGACTGTTGCTGTATTTTTGCTTTTTTTTTTTTTGAGACAGAGTCTTCGCTTTCTTGCCAGATCCTAGAGTGAGTGCCGTGGCGTCGCAGCCTAGCTCACAGCAACCCAAACTCCTGGGCTCAGCAATTCTGCCTGCCTCAGCCTCCCAAGTGTCTGGGGACCTATGGCATGCGCCACCTGCCCGGCTAGGCTAATTTTTGTTCGTAGTATATATTATTGGCCTAATTAATTTCTTTCTTTTATGCTAGAGCGAGTGGCGTCTCGCTCTGCTGCAGAGCTGGTTTCGGAACTCCTGATCCTCACAACGGCCCGCCTCTGTCCTGCCCAGGAGCTGCTAGGATTATCTAGCTGAGCAGCAGGTGCCTGGCCAACTTGTGCTGTGAATTTTGTAAGAATGAGCTGTGTTGAAGATTGGGGCCAGGGTCGTGGTGCCACCTTGTGGCCACACTGTTAATATCTTGAACTTCAGACCTTGACAGAGCTGTGTGTGCTCCTGTACCTGTCATTTAGGTACTGAAATAACAAAAGCCTAGTCTTCCTTAACATTCCAGGGCAAACAGGGACTTCCAGGGATGCTCAGCTTTTGCTTGATTACTTTGGGCCATGGGAGCTTCTCCCTGGAGGAAACAGCTGGTGCCATAACAGGACAGCTGAGTCTCGGAGATCTTCTGCCCCTGACCTCCGTGCTGTCAGTACAGAGGACTGTGGGGAGCTCCTTATTACAGAATGGAGAGATTAAGTTCCCAAGGAGGTTGGGGGGCTCCTCTGTAAGGTTGTGAGGGTTAAGGTTAGGATTTCTCTGTTTTGTGGTTGTATCATTAGCACATATTAAGCACTCAATAACTATCTGTTCTGGCCAGGTGCAGTGGCTCACGCCTGTAATCCTAGCACTCGGAGGCCGAGGCAGGTGCTCGAGGTCAGGAGTTCGAAACCAGCCTGAGCAAGAGCGAGACCCCGTCTCTACTATAAATAGAAAGAAATTAATTGGCCAACTAATATATAGAGAAAAAATT